GGGGCTCGATCCCAGCACCTTGAGATGACCTGAGCCGCAGGCAGACGCTTAAGAGACCGAGCCGCCCAGGCGCCCCGACAGCTCATTTCTTTTATCACTGAATATTGCTCCATTTTCCGGATCTACTGCGGTTTATTTATCTCCCATCACTTACTGAAGGACATCTTGGTTGCTTCCAAGTTTTGGCTATTATGAATAGAGCTGCTACAAACATCTGTGTGCAGTGTTTTTTTGTGCGTGTTTAGATGGAAGTTTTCGACTCCTTTGGGTAAATATCAAGGAGTGTGATTGCAGGATTGTATGGAAAAGTGTGTTTAGCTTGGTAAGAAACCACCAAACTGTCTTCCACAGTGACTGCGCCATTTTGCATTCCCACCAGCAACCAATGAGAGTTCCTGTTGCTCTGCACCCTCACCAGCCTTTGGTGTCAGTGTTCTGGATTTTGCCCATTCTAAGAGGTGTGTAGTAGTTTCTCACTGTTGTTCTCATTTGCATTTCTCTGGTGACATATGATGTAGAGCATCTTTTCATATGCTCATTTGTCATCTGTATATCTTCTTTGGTGAGGTGTGTCTTAGGGTCTTTGACCCTTTTTTTTTTTTTTAAAGATTCTATTCATTTGTCAGGGAGCGCACACAAGCAGTGGGGAGGGGAGAGGGAGAAGCAGACTCCCTGCTGAGCAAGGAGCCCGACGCCAGACTTGATCCCAGGACCCTGGGATCATGACCTGAGCCAAAGGCAGACACTTAACCGACTGAGCCACCCAGACGCCCTGACCCATTTTTTAGTTGGATTGTTTTCTTATTGTTGAGTTTTGATAGTTCTTTGTATGTTTTGGATGTAAGTCTTTTATCAGATAGGCCTTTTCAAGTTTTCAGTCCCAGTCTGTGGCTTGTCTTTTTATTTCCTTGACAGTGTCTTTCACAGACAGAAATTTTTTAATTTAATGAAGTCTAGTTTTCTTTCTGTTGTGGATTGTGCCTTTGGTGTTGTATCTAAAAAGTCATCACCAAAGGGTGTAAGGTCTGTGTCTGGTTTTGTTTTTCTGCATGTGGATGTCCAGTGGGTCAGCACCATTTGTGGAAGAGACTGTTCTTGCTCTATTATGTTCCTCTGCTCCTTTGTCAAAGACCAGTTGACTGCATTTCTGGGCTCTGTTCCCCCTCCCTCCCCCCACCAAAGTAAGTTCTCTGCCCAACATGGGGCTTGAACTCACGACTCAGTTCAAGTGTCACATGCTCTAGCAACTGAGCCAGCCGGGCGCCCCTGGGCTCTCTTCTGTTCCACTGATGTACTTGTCTAATTTTTCAACATTACACACTGTCTTGATTACTGTGACTTTGCAGTAAGTCTTAAAGTCGGGTAGTATCAGCCCTCTGACTTTGTTCTTCTGCTTCAGTGTTGTGTTGGCTACTGTGGATCTTTGATTTTCTATATAAGCGTTAGAATCAATTTGTCAATATCCGCAAAAATAGCTTGCTGGATTTTGACAGGGATTGCAGGGACTCTGCAGATGAAGATGGGAAGAATGGACGTCTTAATGATGTTACGTCTTCCTATCCAGGAACATGGACTGTCTCTCCATTCATCTAGTTCTTTGATTTCTTTCATCAGAGTTTTGTAGATCTCCTCATAGAGATCGTGTATGTATTTGTTAGATTAATACATAAGTATTTCACATTTTTAGTGCTAACGTAAATGATACTGTGTGGTTTTTTTTTTTTTTTGAAGATTTTATTTATTCATTTGAGACAGAGAGAGAGAGAGAGAGAACATGAGCAGGGGGAGAGGCAGAGGGAGAGGGAGAAGCAGGCTCCCCGCTGAGCCAGGAGCCTGATGTGGGGCTCGATCCCAGGACCCTGGGACCATGACCTGAGCCGAAGGCAGACGCCCAACCATCTGAGCCACCCAGGTGCCCCGATACTGTGTTTTTAATTTCAGATCCCTTTTGTTCGTTGTTGGTATATAAGAAAATGATTGACTTTTGTATGTCAACCTCGTATCCTACAATCTTGCTAAAATTGTTTTTATGTTGATTCTTTGGATTTTCTACATAGACAGTCACCTACAGACAGCACTTTATCTTTTCCATCCCAGTCTGTGCCACTTTTCTCCTTTTCTTGTCTTGCTGTATTCCCTAGGACCCTCTGCCCATGCTTCATTTGTTTTTTTTTTGTTATTGTTTATCATGGTGATTTTAAGACTCACAGCTGGAGAGAATGGTATAATGAACTGCTGTTTGCATATTTAAAGAAAGTTAGCTGGAATAATCTTTTACCTCGATTTCTAGGTTTCACTCATTTTTAAAACTTATGTTAAGTTTTTTTTCCTGGGGCTTTTATGATTTCTTTTTTATATATTTATCTTTGTTTTATAGATGTGAAATTCGTTTGTGATCATCACAAACTGTTGTTTGAGTTCAGGTTTTCCTGCTTTTACAGTTTCCATGTCCACTGGTGGTCAGGATCACGGGAGGGGTTCCGGGGGCCTCTGGGCACTTGGTTTTGGGCGTCTTTGACTCTCTGCAATCCACTTGGCTTGGCCTGTCTTGCAGGTGTCTGACTCGGTGAGTGGACAGACGGTAGTTGACCCCAAAGGCTATCTGACGGACTTAAACTCCATGATCCCAACCCACGGAGGGGATATCAAGTGAGTGCTCTGTGGAACTGGTAGGGTGGGGTGGGACTCAGGTTGCCTAGAATATTTTGGATTTTATTTGAAAAACATGCAGCCAAAATCGGATGTGGTTATTCTAAGAAATACACGGTGAAGTAGGTTGATTTTCTACTTATCTCTGTTCATTGTGGATATTAAATGTGTTATGAATAATATTCCAAGTCTATGTGCATGCTGAGCTAGAAAGCACCTTGCTAACAGTGTCCCACACTGCTACTTACATCACCTGGGACATCAGATTTGACAGTCGCTACGCGGGTGCCTGCGCTCTGGGGCTGGGCACGTCCTCCGCAGTGTGGCGGCTGACCGTGTGCTTGCTCGCCCTCACAGTGACATCAAGAAGGCACGGCTGCTCCTTAAGTCTGTTCGGGAGACTAACCCTCATCACCCTCCAGCCTGGATTGCGTCAGCCCGCCTGGAAGAAGTCACCGGGAAGCTGCAGGTAGCACGAAACCTTATCATGAAGGGGACAGAGATGTGCCCCAAGGTAAGGCCCAAGTTGGGGCATTTTCCTGGAAGGCTGTACGATGCCAGCCCCAGGGGGAGCCTGGGTGTCTGTCGTAGGCAGGAGGGTTGTGTCCCGTGCGATGTGAACTGGAGGTAGACTAACCTACCTGCCTTTTGGTGTTGAAACTGCAGACAGTAGGACAGGCAAGAGGGAAGAGGGGAAAAAGTGGGGAAAGGCTTTTCCTGCTTCTTTTCACGTAGAGTGAAGGCCCACCTACGATTAGTTTAATGGCAGGATAACCTTAACAAGAAAGCTAAATTGGTCAGCTTTTCCACCCCACCTAATGTAAGAAACATAAAAATTAATGTAACTCTTAGGAGACTGTTCCAGCACTTTTTTGGGAGGTAGAGTGACTAGACAAGTTTGTTTGTTTTTTTTTTAAGATTTTATTTATTTATTTGAGAGAGAGAGAGAATGAGAGAGAGAGAGAGAGAGAGCATGACGGGGGGAGGGTCAGAGGGAGAAGCAGCCTCCCCGCTGAGCAGGGAGCCCGATGCGGGACTCGATCCCGGGACTCCGGGATCATGACCTGAGCCGAAGGCAGTCGCCCAACCAACTGAGCCACCCAGGCGCCCTAGACAAGTTTTAAAAAGTCCTATGAGAACCTGTAAAGGTCGCTCTCTGTTGTGCAGACTAGGGTGCCCTTGGCAATGAAAGAGACCCTCTCTGAATACTTACGCCAGGACCTCAGGCATAAAGGAGAACTCAGGCCGTCGCACAGCCAGCTGCTGATAGGTCTCCGTTTCGTCTCTTGGTTGACCTGTCACCCTGAAGGGCAGACTGTTCTTCTCTCATGGTGCTGTTGTGTGTCTCCCCGACTTGGGGACACAGAGGTGCTGTGGCCACGTTCCCAAGCAGTGACATTACAGGGGTCTCTGGTGCAGGCGTACTTGAGGCCAAGCTGATGGATTTTTGTTTGATTGTAAAGCCTGGGGCCATAGGTCTGGTGAGCCCAGCCCTTCCTGTTCCTGAGGCTCCATCTCAGATTCCAGTCTGCATGTACACTTCCTATTCTTTTGTTTTGCCCCTCAGAGTGAAGATGTCTGGCTAGAAGCAGCCAGGTTGCAGCCTGGGGACACAGCCAAAGCTGTGGTAGCCCAAGCTGTCCGTCACCTCCCACAGTCTGTTAGGATTTACATCAGAGCAGCAGAGCTGGAAACAGACATTCGTGCCAAGAAGCGGGTTCTCCGGAAAGGTGAGCCTCCCTGGGAATGCCGTCACCAGCAGGTGCATCTGGGGCTATGGTCCACCTGAAGGAGGTGCTGTCTTTTCTATTCCTGGTGCCCAGGTTCTTGGAGAGCAGACTTTTTGCTGCTTTGCTCAGTTTTTTGGTGGTACTGGCTAAGGAATGGGTAACATTTTGGGGCCTTTTTCTGGGCTGGGTTGTCTCTGCTCCTGGACTGTCTGGGACTGGGAGGCAGTTTCCATTTTGGGTAGGCACTCGGGTTTAGATCCCACTCCTGCCTTTTCCTGTTGTGTGCCCTTGAGTGAAGTGAGCAGTCACTGTGCAGCCCAGGTTTTCCTCATCTGTAAGATGAGAACAGTACTCACTCGGAACCTGCTGCTTAGGGCTCGATGTGGGGGTGTATTTGAAGGGCAGGCCAAGCCAGCCCAAAGCAGGTCTCAGGGTGTTGGTCTTTTCCACCACGAGGAGCCTGATGCCGTGGCAGCATGTCGTTTGGTTTTAAGGCAGAACCGACTGGCTGGTCACAGCAGAGCTGTGCATTAATCGAGCCCCTCCTGTCCCGTGAGGCCCGTGTGAGGTCACGTGACGGCACCTCATCTTCTCATCTGGTGCTCCAAGCAAGGTGGCGTGTGCCATCAGCTCCTGTCAGTGCATGGTTTGCATGCCGGGGAAGCCAGTTCCGTCCGGATTCACTGCCGAGATGGAGCTTTTTTTTTTTTTTAAAGATTTTATTTATTTGAGAGAGAGAGAACGAGAGACAGAGAGCAGGAGAGGGAGGAGGGTCAGAGGGAGGAGAAGCAGACTCCCCGCCGAGCAGGGAGCCCGATGCGGGACTCAATCCCGGGACTCCAGGATCATGACCTGAGCCGAAGGCAGACGCTTAACCATCTGAGCCACCCAGGCGCCCTAGATGGAGCTTTTGTAGTGCTTTGTCATTACTGTGGGGTTGGTATGAAGAGCAGCACTTCTCCCTCCCCCACAACTGTGCTTTCGATCTTTGTTCCATAGCAGATGCGAGTCAGAGGCTTGATGTGGAGTAAACCTGTGCAGAGGGCGTATTCTACTTGGACTTGTAGTGCGGGTCAAATAAGGTATATTTTGTGGGGTTGAGGCAGTTTTCAGTGAGGTTTACAGCTCTTGTTTTTACGATGTGTGTTTGAGTAAAATGTTAGAGGTGTGTGACATCAGGCCATGCAAGTGTTACCGCATACAGTTTCTGTGTTTGATAGAGGCCATGCGGAGTCCCCCTTGCGTGTGACCGTGACTGTGTGTGCTTGTGTGCATTCAAGTGTGTTTTCCTCTCTTGGGTCTGGTTTCCTGTTTTACTACCCATTAAATACTCAGAGCCACTCTCTTAAAATGAGGCCAGGAACAGAAAGTTAGAAGCTGTCTTGGTTTATAGGAATCAGCTTATCTTGGGGCGCCTGGGGGGGCTCAGTCGGTTGGGCATCCAACTCTTGGTTTTGGCTCAGGTCATGATCTCGTGGTGGTGGGATCCAGCCCTGCCTCGCGTGGGGTTCTGCACTCAGCGGGAGTCTGCTTCAGATTCATTCTCCCTCTCCCTCCCCCTCTGCCCTTCTCCCCTCTCCCCCTCTCCTCTCTCTCTCTCTCGAATAGATGAATAAATAAAATCTTAAAAAAAAATCAACTTATCTTTTTCCAGCCAGAAAAATAGTTCTTTAATGACAAACACATTAAACTCTGGGTAATTAGCATTATTTATTTGGGAAAGCTCTCCTGAATCTCGCCTGCCACAATCTCGTGATGAATGGTCAGAATGTCTTTGTGGCCACTCCTTTTTCACCACCAGATAACCTGGGTTCATTTCCAGCTGGCTTCAGATTTGGAGAGGGGAGTGGGGCATGGAGGTGGGGCCTGTAGGGCCTGCAGGGCAGCGTTGAGTGATGGCTTTTCCAGGATGTCCTGGATCTCTAGGGCAATGGCTGTCCTGGCTCTGCTTCTCTCAGAGAGCTGTGCTAAGGTAGAAAGAACACTGAGTCCCCAAGCCGGCCTCTGCCCCTGCTCCCTGGTCTTAGTCCTGGCCTGCCCCCATCCTTAGACTACTTCCAAAAACAGCATTCTTTTTTCAGGTGCCGCTTCATTTAGTTCTTGGTGAAAATCAAGATGACAGCTACTTCCATCAGTGACTTAGGACATCCTGCCAGCCCTTAGTCGCTGGCATGTGAGCTCTGGGTCTTAGTTGGATGCAGCTGACATCTTAGTCCTTTGTGTTGAGCTTGGAATGCTAGTCTGACACCTGAAGAGGCCGAGTGACCTTGAGTGTGATACTTGACCTCTGAGCTGCGGTGTCCTTGTCTGTAAGGGCACATGTGGGCCTGTGGCTGGGCCACTGGCTGCTTCCTGTCAGTTCACCTCACCATGATAGGTATGAAGCTCTATGTTACTCTGTAATTAATACAGTCCTATAAAAGTGAGGTTACCTTGCCCTGAAACCCTATATTGTGGTGCATAAAGCACAGCAGCTTCCCGTGGCTGTCACTGTTGGGTCACCGTGAGCACAGGGATAGCACTGGAGTGTCCTCCCTGCAGGGCCAGAGCTGGAGGTCATGTTGGCCTCTGTGTGAGCCCATCCTCTGCTGGCAGGTATATCTAGTTCAGTCTGGTCTTTTCCCATCTGGGCTGCCCCTTATACACCGGCTGGGTGTGGCCTCTCAAGGTAGCCTTACATGGTCGCTGTCTCTGGGAAGACCCTTGGTAGGAGCTGGACCGGCTGGCAGCAGTTGGCTTGGCTTTATTTGTCTGGATTGCTGATGGGACGCCAGTGGAGGAGTTCCCACTGTCTCCCAAAAAGTGAAGACACAGGTTCCTTGGTGTCATACCCATCTCTGGGTGAAGTTAGTGACCCTGAAGTTGATGACTTCAGTCCCACCTGGAAGTTCTGTGTGCTAGAGGTTGAATTATGAAGTTCACTTCCACTGATACCCAGTGTAATAGGGAGAAGGAAGGCAGAGGCAGAGTAGTCAACGTGCATCTGCAGAAGCAGCAGGAGAATGGGTGTAGTTCTGTGTCCTTGTTTCTCTGGCTGGTTACTGGGCTGCTAGCACCTTACCTGGTCAGGGTTCTTTACCTGGACCGGTGACTCAAACTGTTATTTCTGAAGGGGCTAAAGCCTCGGTGGTCTTGCTTTCTTGGGCTGCTGTACTCCCATGAACTAACTCTGGAAACGGCAATACTGAGCCAGTCCTTAGGACTCTGGGCTCTTGTCCCCCAGGACACTGGCAGCTCAGTCTCACCTTGGACGTCAGGGCTCCTCTCTGCAGCCAGGCCTGGTGCGCTGGCATCAGAAGGCGGAGAGATGCGTGCCTGCACCGGCGCTCAGCGTGGGGCAGCTGTGGTCACGCGCCTCGGTGGGCCCGTCTTCCCTTGGGCGGAGACTCCTGACAGCAGAGCTCACAGGTTGAGGTGGGAACCGGGCTGTCCCAGTGGGACCTTCAGTCGCTTGGATGTCACTCCTTTTTCTCGACCTATGTGTTTTGGCTATGTGAGAACCACCACTGTAGTTTGGTTGTTGTTTTTTTTTTTTTGCATCCTATAAGGTCAAGGCCTGTTGCTTTGGGGTGTTTCTCCCAGCCAGTGTTCCGAATGCTCCGTAGTGTCCCACGGTTCTGCCAGGTCTTGGCTCCGAAAGGTGGGGGTGTGGTAAGGCCAGGGTATCCCGTGGCCTGACCCCTTTGCTGCATGTCTTTTGCTGTGAGGTAAGTTTCTTGAACACATGATGGGTGTGTGGTGCTGGCAGAGTTCTGTAGGCAGGGAAGGCACATCCCACAGTGAGAGCCAATCCCTGCCCCTCCAGATGGACTGGGTCCAGGATATCGGCCTAGTCCAGGGGCTGACAAGGGAATGGTTCTCTGGGAAGGGACTCGGCTCAGTGGTGGGCTCAGTGGCATCATCAGGTCACCCTTGGGAGGGATTCTGTGAACCCCGAATGCCCTGTGTGATCCTGCTCTGTGTACACAGCCCCATGGAGCAGGTGGGGGCTGTGCGCCCCCTGAGGCCTGCCAACTGCTTCTGCCGATGAGGGAGGCTCAGCATGTCGCATCCTGGCTTCCTCCAGGTGTCCTAGGTGGCCCCAGTCTGTGCCCTGATTCCATGCGAGAAACTTTGTGGGTCTGCAGATTCTGCACTGTTAAATATTAGGTCTGTTTTCCACACGCTTGGCCCTTGTGTTTCCGAGGAACAAGAACCCCTTTGGGATCTGCCTTAGAGGTGCTCTGGCTTCCTGCTGGTGACCCGAGCTGTGCTGTTCTCTGTCAGCCCACCCCTGCCAGGGGCTGACTAGGGCCCTGGCCTCGCTCTCTCCTAATACTCACACCGCAGAGCTCTGTGTTTATCCACCTTCTTTTGGGGGCTTTTTGGTAAATTGCATATGAAGAAAGGGCTCTGTTGCTTAAACAAAGGTTTGGAAGTTTCTGGACTGCACAAACTGGTAGCTTTTTCTGGGAGTCTGTCCCCCTTCCCTGATGTCCCTCCGTGTGCTGGCTGCCTGTGGGCCACCAAAGGAGCCCACCTGCTCCAGAGCCCGTGAGGCTCAGCTGCCGTGATCATGATGTCACCACACAGTGTGGCTCAGGGGCCAGGAAGGAGCTCACGCCCAGCCAGCCCTCTGATGCACGCCAGCCTGGAGAGACATGTGTCCCAGGGCCGCTTCTGTTTTCTTTTCCCTTGACTTCTGCACACTCACCCACAACCTGCCTGGCTGAGCCCTTCATGCGAAGGTGATTTTCTTCTTGTGGTTGCCTGGCTTTGTTTTATAATGTTGATTTTCAAGACTGAATGGGAGCAGAGACCATGCACAGCCCCCTGTGCCACCTTCAGTCGTCTGCTGTGGCTCAGCCTTGCTTGTGATTCAGGATGCTCCACCTTGGTCTTGGTTGCATCTGCCCCAGACTTGAGAGGCCCCGTATAAGGGGCAGGTGTATGATCCTGGCCTGCCCCCGAGGGAGAGGTCTTCTGACCCTGCTGGCAGCAGCGTTCTTTGGGAAATGAGCGTCCTGCTTTTGCTTCTGCTTTTCTGTGACCTGGTTTCTTGTTTGACCTTTCCAAGCCCTTGAACATGTTCCAAACTCTGTTCGCTTGTGGAAGGCGGCCGTTGAGCTGGAGGAGCCTGAAGATGCTCGAATCATGCTCAGCCGCGCTGTGGAGTGCTGCCCCACCAGTGTGGAGGTGAGTCCGCCAGGCTTGGCCTGCGTTCAAGTACAGCGGCGGGAAGTGGCATCAGCTGAGCACTGACCCCTGATTTCTGGGACTGTGAGGCAGCGTGAAGTCACAGGAGGCCACCTTGTACCGCAGCTGCCAGGCAGAGTGGCCAGCCTGGCCATGGCCCGTCGTGCTCCTGATGCAAGTGCGGAACAGGAACTTAGCTGGTCTCTGGCCACTCCAGAGAGTTCTGTGTGCAGCACTCTTTTTCAGGGCCCAGGCCTGATTTAGCTCAGTGTTTGTAAATGGGACCTGAACAGTGGAGGGTGATAGAAAATACTGATCGATCTTTCTCTCAGCCCAGCATGAGCTTGGCTCATTGCCTCAAAGCTAGTTGGATGTCTTTAGTTTCAAACATTCTGGTTCACAACATTCTGTGCAATGATTTTTAGTCTTGGTTTTTTGATATCCAATATGTCCTTAATTATCTTAAGGGTATTGTGAAATTCTCCAAGCAAAATTAATCTTAATTTATTTATGTAAAAGTAAATAGAGCCCATACACATCTTTGGTGATGAAATGTTGCAGAATCAACAGCCAGGGTGTGAGAACCCCAGAAGGCTGAACACCCGTGTGTCCTTTGTGAAGTCAGCAGTCACGTCCTGCTCATCCTCTGTCCAACACCTGGAATGAGTCTGACATACTGTGTACATTTAACTGGTGTTTGAAACGTGTGACTGAGAATTTGTCGACGTCTCACGTTAACCAGAGTCACTAAGTCAGAAACATAACTGAACAGTTATCAGATCAGGTGAAAATGTTGTACACATCTGTGGGTTCTGTTTAAAGGATCCTTGAGAGCTGTTAGAAAGAATTTAGTGGAGGGGCGCCTGGGTGGTTCAGTCGGTTAATCGTCCGACTCTTGGTTTCAGCTCAGGTCATGATCTCAGGGTCGTGAGATCGAGCCCCACATCGGGCTCTGTGCTCAGCGTGGAGTCTGCTGCAGATTTTTTCCTTCTCATTCTGCCCCTCCCACCCCGCTTTCTTTCTTGCTGTCTCTCAAATAAATAAATAAGATCTAAAAGAAAGGAGGGAAGGAGGGGAAGGAAGGGAGAACTTTGTGGAAGTGTTGCAACCCGATGAGGTTGGCTCACCACTTGACCTGGCAGGGTGTGCTGAGTACCGTCCTCTTGTTTGCTGGTATTCTCTCCGTACAGCTCTGGCTTGCTCTGGCACGGCTAGAGACCTATGAAAATGCCCGCAAGGTCTTGAATAAGGCGCGTGAGAACATCCCTACAGACCGGCACATCTGGATCACGGCTGCCAAGCTGGAGGAAGCCAATGGGAACACACAGATGGTAGAGAAGATCATTGACCGAGCCATCACCTCACTGCGGGCCAATGGCGTGGAGATCAACCGCGAGCAGTGGATCCAGGTGAGGTCAGCAGGTAGGACTCCCCGCTGCAAGCAGGCGTCAGTGTCTGCTTTAAAAATGCACGTTGGAGTCTCTCATAGGGTAGGGGCTGCTGGATGGTACCTGAGGGTTTTCATGCTGGCAGGGGAAGCAGGCATGTGTGGCCTTCCCTTATGCGATTGTGACATAGGTTTTTATAGAGTTGACACTTTGAGTACGTACGTCTTCGGGTTGGATACTCTGAAGAACTTTCTGTATATGGACACTGGTGAGTAGTACTGATTTGCAAGTAGAAATAATACGACATAAGGAGAATGATTGTTCCGTGGCTAGTGAAGTCTCTGAAGATCCTCTGACCCAGCCTCCAGGCCGGGCGACCTCTCCTGCCTTCCACTTCCATGTGAGCTCTCTGGGCGTGGGCCCCCCATCTCCTGGGGGGCCCTGTCCTAAGTGTAGTCAGCGTAGGGGAAAGCGCTTCTTCACAGTGATCTGCTCCATTCCACCACAAAGGGCCCTAGAGAGCAAGGCTCCTTGCTTCACCTACTGCCCCTTGGCACTGGAAGATGGCCTCAGGCCTCCTGTGCCCTCCCTTCTCCTGCTCCTGCTGCCACACTTCTGATCACCATTCTCAGAACAGCCCCCGAGCTGAACTGTCCCCAGTGTGGCCAAGAGGGCCTCAAGTGGTGCTGCACTATTTCTGGGGTCCCTCGGATCAGTGCCCCTACTCTTCCTCACATGGATATTAAGCCATGTGACCCCTTTCTGTGTTTGGGCAATTTTTTTTTTTTTTTTTCAATCCTGAATGCAAGGCCTTGTGTGTCCCTCTAAAATTTAATCACTGAGATTCAGTCCCTTTATTTCTTTGGTGTTTTTAGCCATGTTGTTACAGTTCTGATGCCTCATCCCTTTGTGCAGATCCACTTGTCCAGCCAGTGTCTTCTTCCCTGTGCCTGAGGGACTGTAATGTTTCTTTCAGTGCAGGTCTGACGGTAGATTCTTCTGGCTCTTACACGGCTGCAAACAGTTTGTATTTCACCTTTTTAAAGATTTTATTTATTTATTTGAGAGAGAGAGGGAGAGCACAGAGGGAGAGGGAGAAGCCGACTCCCGCTGAGCGGGGAGCCCGATGCGGGGCTCAATCCCAGCACCCTGGGATCATGACCTGAGCTGAGGCAGACACTTAACGACTGAGCCACCCAGGGGCCCCCAATCTTCTCCTTTTAAAATTGGGTTGTATATCTTTATTATTGCTCACTTATTTTCCATTTTTTACTATCAAGTTGAGTTGTGAGGGTTTTTATGTATATATTCTGTCTGTAAGTCCCTTTTCAGCTTATATGATTTGCAAATATTTGCTCCCATTTTGTGGGTCAGCTTTTCACTTTCCTGATTGTATTGCTTATAGCACAAATGTTTGTAATTTTTGTAGAGTCCAGCTTATCCTTTTTTTCTTTTTTGTTGCTCATGCTTTAGGTGTCATATCTAAGGATCCTTCCCTAGCCCAAGGTCATGGGGATTTGCTCCTGTGTTTTCTTTTTTTTTTTTTTTTCTTTTTTTATTCTTATGTTAATCCCCATACATTACATCATTTGTTCTAGATGAAGTGTTCCATGATTCATTGTTCGTGCACAACACCCAGTGCTCCATGCAGAACGTGCCCTCCTCAACA